GTCACTGCTGTGCACAAATCGCCCACAAAATAAACAGTCAATACATTTTACAGTATATTCTGTGAAGCGCTTTGACGTAATAAGGCACTATAGCAAATGCAAGGATTATTATTACTACTGATCCCCCTTCCCCCCACACACACACACACTCCACTGGAGCCATTCACTCCAAAAGCATTTGTGATCTACTCAATGGGACAGAGTGGAGGGTGGGGGCTAAAGGAAAAGAGGAACTATTAACAAGAGGCCAAACACTTCCCAGAAACAGGTTTAAAATACCTACAAGAGGAAGAATATGCGGGGAGGGAAAAGGAAAAATGTGATTGATCATTTAGAGAGCAAGTCAGCGTTAGCATGGACAGAGGCGATTTAGTTTTGAAGACGTAGAGGTTAGGAGTGGAGATGAGATTCCACTGACAATTTAGTTAGGAACTGAAGCTGGAGATTTCACTTGCTAGAACAGCATTTTCTATTTCACTCACAGCTGTGCTCCATGCTCATGAGTTGCCAGTTGAATTCACGTGGGAATCAGATCTATAGCTCGAGTTTGTCTGGCAAAGAACTGCTGAATGCTGCACAGTATCATAATTAAGCAGACCAGGGATGTCAATGCCGTGCAACAGAATACATTTGCCATTTTGGTCAGCCAGTCAGCATCCAGTTCTCTTAAATCACATCAGGCCTGATTTTGATGCCGATGAATGATGTTTCCTGCTGTTCAGTTCCCTCTCTCCTCTGCTCCCAAGAAATCCTTTGACATAGTTGTACAAGAATAACAAATTGTCATTGTGGAGTCCTTAAGCGTAGTGGTTAGCGCACTCACTTCGCAAGCGAGAAGACTAGGTTCGATTCCTGGGCAAGAAGAAGCAAGTTCCCTTATTCCACGTCTCGGTTTACCTCGCAGTAAGTACAACAAAATTACATTTGTAAAGTGGTTAAAAAGGATGGTCTTGAGTCGTTCCTTGAGGCAAGAGAGGGAGCGAGGAGAAGGGATTGTGGGATAGAGTTCCAAAGAATGGGCAGAGAGGCTGAAAGCCTGGCCGCCAATGGTAGGGTGGGAGACCTGGAGCAGGCTGGAGCCTGCTGAGCAAAGGGAGTGGACAGGTTAATAAGGGGTCAGAGATGTAGGAGGGGGCAAGGCGGTGGAGGGTCTTGAAGGTGAGGACAAGGATTTTGAATTGTATCCTCTGAGGGATGGGGAGCCGGTGGAGCTGGGCGAGGGTGGGGGTGATGGAGCCACGGAGTCTGGTGTGGGAGAGGACATGAGCTGCAGAGGTCTAAATGATCTGTAGTTTGTGGAGGAAGAGTTGGGGAGGCTGACAAGTAGGAACCCGATTGTTAGCCAATTGGCAGATCACTTTCCAGGTGTAATAATCCCTCAAAAACATTGGTCACTCAATCCATGACCGTTTGTGGGACACTGCTGTGTGCAATTGGCTGCCAAGTTTCGCTCACAAAATACAGTCAATCCACTTTATATATTCTGTGAAGCGCTATGAGATAAGACTCCATATCAAATGCAAGGATTATTATTGTTATTTATAGTCTTTACGTCAGAAGGTCAACCCATGGTGCTGGGCAGTGAAGGGTTTGCACCCGAGCTGGGGGCTGGAGTCAAGAAAGGTGTAAGGCAGAGGTGGAAAGATGACCGAATCCAAGGTCAAAGACCAAGGTCTTGAGTTGGTCTTGATGAGGGCGGGGCCAAAGCTGAGGAAGGGGCCAAGGCTGAGGGAGTGGACGGAAAGGATGAAGCCCCACCCTCCAACGGTGGATGAGCACACAGAACCCTGCAGATAACCGCTGTCAAGTGTAGTGACTGTTTTTCTAGACAGACCAACAGCCATTTTGTGCACAGCAATATCCCACAAACAGCTACAATATGAATGACCAATTTATCCAGGGGAGTATTGGTCAGGAAACTGGGAAAAACTCCCTCCTCATTGTAAATAGCGCCACAGAATCTTTATCAACATTCACACAAACTGGTAACAAAAGCAGAAGTTGCCGGGAACACTCAGCAGGTCAGGCGGCATCTATGGAGAAAGGAAAGTGAGTCAATGTTTCAGGTCCACGACTATGTTTTTGTTTTCAGATTTCCAGCATCTGCAGTATTTTGTGTTTTATTTACACAAACTGGTGTTCAGGACCTCAGTTGAAAGTTAGCACCTGCGATAGTGGAGCGCTCCCCCAGTACTGTCTTGGACAGTCAGCCTTGACTCACGTCAGAAGGGTGGCTTGGCTCACAAGCTTCTGTGCAAAGACAAGTGCTGCAAACCAAGCCAAACAGAAACTTATTTCACGATGTGGATTCCTGACAGTTGACCATTGGAGTAGGTGCTAGTTTGTTCCTAAAATTGATAGCAATCCTCCTTGGTGGCAGTGGAGGGGGGGGGGGGAGGCAAATGGGGTCTCCTCGGAGCTGAAGTGGCTCCAGGGTAACATGGTTGGACAACGGGATGTGGGAACAGAGCCCCCCCTGTGCCTGTGCGGTCTCTGAGCCGGGAGGGGCCGCAGTGTCCCAGGGCACTCACTGCTGATGGCAGCACAGCCCGGCCCGGCCCGGCCCATCAGCAGGACCTGGGGACAGGGAATCCTCCCCCTCAGCTCCTGGTCACCCTGCAGCCAAAGCCCTAATGGGGAGGGTGGTGTTAGCGGGACAAGCAGTGGGAACGCTTGCTGGACAGAGATATCAATGGTAAGCTATGCGGATTTAGCTGGTTATAATCAGGCAGTTACCCCAACGCAAACTCTGGGGTCCCCAAGCCTTAGCCAGCCTGTGCCTAATACTCTCTGGAATTAGGTAAGCAGGACGTTTCCCTCCAGGGAGAGAGAGCCCATTCCATTCCAAAACCTATCTCTGGGATTTCCACATGTAGGTGGGAGGCATGGAATTCTCAGTGCGGTTTGGAGACTCTTAAGCACGGTGATGGGTTTCCGCTTGTGTGAGACACCCGGCTGAGCAACAAAAGTGATAGCAATTCAACTCACATTGGAAACTCTACTTCCAGTGACATGATTGGTGTAAATGAGCTTAACGGCAGATCAGAGGAGTATTTTAATCACTTCTTGACCACGCTGGATTCAAACCCAGGCTCCAGAGATCAATATGCTTTCAGTGAGTTTTTTTTATATCAGAAATTAGACAATATCTTAGAAGCTGCATGTATACATGTTTTATTCAATGCCTTAAAAGAAGATATTGATAAAGTGACATGAAATAGAGGTTAGGATAAACCCTGCATAACCTGGTAACTATAAGTATTTGAGAAAGACAAAAATACCAACAGTTTTCTTGATTTTACTGATAACAAGTTTTTCCAAAACACTGACATTCACCCTTTTCTGCAGGGGGGGGAGGGGGAGGAAAAGAGAGCAAAAGAACACCCTGTGGCTTTGAACCATCACCGCACAGTTAATGTACAGCCAAACCTCGTTGCAACAAACTTATAACAACCTGGTCATAACAACCTCACCGTCCCGTCCCCCCCTCCGCCCAGGTCACAACCAGAACTCTGCGTTATTCTTTTTTTCATTTTTTTCTATTTAAAAAAAAGTTAATGAAATTCAACCCCTGATAAAAACAAAAAACAAAAAACAGTCGATAACATGCAGAGCAGCAGATCCAATGGCACCATTTGTAAATTAAATTGAAAACTTTTCCAAACGTGTTGTTGGTTGGAACAGATCGAGATCTGTTGTCTGTAATGCTTTCAGCACAAGCTCCTATTCCAACTGCAACTGACCCACGATTCCCCAGATGCGGAACAGACAACAATAAAGGGTTAAATTATTCTGGGCGGTGATTATTCTGGTGATCGCTTCTCAAAGCCCTTTGCTTTGCTTTTGGTCTGAAAGAGATTAGCTCCTGTTGACCAGAACGGTTTGTGATAATGAGGTTCTACTGTAGCAGTCAGTTCGATGAGACAGGAAAGGCCGAAAAATATAGAGCTTTGTCCCGGCAAACGGATCCTTAACCCCTCGAGTGCCATCGCTGTGTTCCCTCCCCCGCGGTTATAGAACACTGTGCCCCTATACTCCAGTTTGCGGTTTCCTAGAGAATACTGATTAACAAATATTCAAGTGATGTGCGTAGCACGGAATCCCCAATTATTCAGCAATATAGTTTGTCTCTTTTTTTCTTTTAAAACAGCATTTGCTACACCTAAAATATTATTCTCTCCCAAAGGGGGCCAGGAACCCAGCCTGGCAAGAATTCCGCTCTGCGCTGTAGTAGTCCCACAAAGCATTATTTTTTTTTCCTTTTTTTCTTTAGAAACAATAAAAAGCAGCGGATCAGAATCTGCCGTCCTTAATTAGGGCGCAGTTTTCATCCTCTCGGAAGCCAATCGCACCCTGCAGATTTAGAAACAAATCCACCTCCCCTTCGCCCCCCCCACCCCCACCATCCGCCCATCATTTCCATTTCCTGTTGCACAAAGGAAGTCCATATCCAAAAGGGTTCATCATATAAGAACCATTAGGTAACCGTGACAACCAATGATTGGCAGCTCCCCTAACTAGTGAGACCATTCATAGCTTCAAGTTCCCCCCCACGACAAGTCCAATGTTACGGGCACCATCTCCCCTTTTCCTATTCAACAGGACAGTTAAAAGAACGTTCGATGCACTTAAGCGTAAAATGTTGTGCTTCACTATCAAATGGTACCTCTGCTTATTGCTGTTATTATATATGACTAACTAATATTATTAAACACCATTGCAAAAGTGCTAAAGAGTCTTTTCTTTTCCTCATATAAATTCTTTTTCCCCACAATGGTTGTGGAAATGACCAGTAAAAGAAAGTCTTCTTTTGTTTTTGAATACAGAATAAAGATTCCCCTTTTGCGAACGGATTACTACTAAACCCGGTAATGGAATTCGATTGCACAAAAGTTTACATCATGTGCGGAATGTATTTTCTAAAATACTTGATAAAAAAAAAGCAACAAAAATAAAAACAGAACATGATCTGAAAGTAATTTTTACGGGGAGGAGAGAGGGTGGGGGGCGGAGAGGGGAAATAAAAAACATGAGCAAATACCCGCGCACAGACACACGGTTTAAAACGTGTGATAGACAGAGTTTAGAAGATTGGATTGTGGCGTAGTGTTCAGTGACGGGTTGCCCATGTAGCCTGCCGTAATCTTGCCTGCGGCGTTGTTGTGAGATGCCGATCCCATTCCGTACGTGATGAGGGACTGAGGTACCGAAGGAGCGGGCTGGAGGGCGTGTGCGTATTCCTGTGACGTCACAGACCACGGGAAAGTGCCTGACCTGCTGTACGGCTGGTGTCCGTTGTGGTTCGATACAGAAGGCACCCCAGAACAATAGCAATTATCCACCGAGCAGACCAGGATCTTGCGGCCAGCGTAGCCAACAGACTGGGAGAGGACAGCCTGCTGTGAGGGCGAGCTGTTGGGGTAGTGAGTTGTGTTGAAGACGGGACCCGTGTGGACAGGCTGAGGGCCGCCTGCCAGTCCCACGATGTGCTGGGCAGAGCTGCAGGGCACCAGAGATTGCCCCGCCTGGCCCTCCACACCTGTCGGGCCCTGGCCCATGTACTGCCCCGTCACGTTGCCGGCTGTTTCCAGGAAGCCGTTGTCCACGGCTGATGTGGTGGGCATGGGGAAGGCCGCCGAGTGCTTGCGTTTCTCTCCCGCGGTGTTGGAGATGCTGCAGGTGTAAGCCGGCACGCTCTGCAGGAACGGCACCGCAGGGCTGATCGTCCCTGTCACAATCCAAACCAAACACGTCAGGCCTGGGACTGCACTTACTGCACACACACACGCACGTGCGCACACACACAGATACACGCACCCACACAGATACACGCACCCACACACACACACAGATACACACACACACCCACACACACAGATACACACACACATAGATACACGCACCCACACACACGCGCACCCACACAGATACACGCACCCACACACACAGATACACGCACCCACACACGCAGATACACGCAGATGCATGCACACGCACACACAGATACACATGCACACACAGATACACGCATGCACACACAGATACACGCACAGATATATACACACAAACAGATACACGCACAGATATATACACACACGCGCGCGCGCACACACACACACACACACACACACACACAGATACACGCGAACACACATACACAGGTACACACACACAGGCACACACGCGCACACAGGTAAATGCACACACAGGTACACGCGCGCACATACAGGTACATGTGCGCAAACAAGGTACACGCACACCCGCGCGCGCGCGCACACACACACACTCAGGTACACGCACACGAATAGATGCACACAGGTGCACACACACACAGATAGATACACACAGATACACGCGCACATACAGATACACGTGCACACATACACAGATACACGCGCACATACACACAGATATCCAGACACACGCACAGACAGATGCAGATACATGCACTTGCACAAACACACCCACACAAATACACACACAGACCCACATACAGATACCCACTTACACACACAAGAGTACAACCGCCTCGCACATACACACACACAGATACACTCCCAACACACAGACATACACACCCACACACAAATACCCACCTGCACACACAGAGATACAACCCCCTCATACATATACGTGCACACACCCAGACAGATACACATACAGATATACATACACACCAACACACTGATATACCCTCACATACATCACCCCCCCCCCCCCCACCACCCCACAGGCACACACACGCACAGATACACACACAGACTTTTGCAACATGATCCGGTTTTGTTTGGCCTGTTCTCCCTGGAGGGCTCCCCACAGCATTAAAGAGACAGTCGGCTTCTGTCCAACTTACATAAGTTGTTTTTCTTGCTCACATGCAAAAATCCCCGAGTATCAATACACTTCAAAATACACTAAACATGGCCACACAAAGCTTTCCTTTTTCCTGTTAAAATCCTATTTAAGCTGCGACATTCTCCCCCTGTATAGAGATTGCCACTTCTTCAGGAACATTGCATTTTTCAATTACAGTGAAAAATAGTGTAAAACTGATCAAAACTAAAGAGGGAAAAGCAGCTTTGAGCCAGCTCAGTGTTTGTTAGTAATTAAATCACAGACTAACTCCCAAAATGCCATCTCAGCACCCGGGAGAGGAACTCGCTGGAGGAAGATGGAAAAATATCTATTTTTGCTTTCTTTTTAAACAAAAATATTATATCCGCTAGTCTTTTATTTTGCCCTGGTGCAGGGAGGAGACAATAGGCTCACGGACGTTTTCCCTTAAAATGTTGCACAAATGCATTTCATGCATTACACAAAGATGGTGTTCAATAGGGACTGACAGACATGGGGTCACATCCCAGTGTTTTGTATCTGTGTGGATATGTATGTATATATATCGGTGGGTGGAATGTGTGTGTGTGTGGGGGGTGCTGTGCATGTGGGTGGTGTTCGTGTATGCGTGTGTGTGTGTGGGGATGGTGTGTGTATAGGTGGTGTGTGTGTACGCACGCGTATGTGTGTGGGTGTCCGTGTTTCGATGTGTGTGAGTGGTGTGCGCGTGGGGGTGGATGTGTGTGTGTGTGTAGGTGGTGTGTGTGTCGGTGCGTAGGTGGGTGTGTGGGTGGTGTGGGTGGGTGTGTGCATGTGTACCTGATCCTGTATGGTAATGCTGTTCGCAAAATCCCGGGATTCATTGCAGAGAATCGCAGGATAATGGGGATTGTAAAGAGTCTGAGCCCAGGTGGAAGGGCAGGTTTTCACACATTACCCCGAGGCCAGGTCAGCGGGAGAGGACGGCCGGGTGTTTAAACCTCATGGGAGGGTCAATCTGTGTGAGGTACCCGCTAGTGTGGAGAATGACCACAAGGTAAGATTGGGGATCCCGGGATTTGGGGCAATAAAAACCCCAGGATTCCGAAAGAGCACAAGGGTTACAAGCCCATTGACGAAGTGGTTTGTGGTGCATTACAACGACAGGTTGGTTAGGGCTCATTTTGCTCAGCAATAAGGTATTTTCTGTTGTAAATAAGGACCTGACATGTGTGACCGACTGTCGTGATGGTGGAAAGCAAACTGTATGGACCTCGGTCTCCTTTTATCTAGCAATTCATATGTTCTCATAAAACAGCAGCGACTTTTACCTTCCAGCAGCTTTCTGATGTGTTTCTCTTTCTTTGCAATCTCACTCAGGAAGGGCTTGGGTTGGAGGTGCCCAAATTTGGGAGGCGGCAATCCAATTCCTGTACACGCTTGAGTCCTTCAAATGTGAATNAAAAAATGACGCACATGAACCCAAATACCTACATCTTTGCAATTTAATAATAATCCTTGCATTTGATATACAACAGCTTGCACTTACATTGCACCCTCCACGCAGTGTAGTTTCTTATAGCACTGATATAGCGCCTAATCACATCGTTGAAACATCTCAAATAGACATTCTCAGGCTCACGGAAACCTGGCTATTGCCCTATAATTCCCCGCCCCAGGTTGAAGGCTCCCCACCTCACCCCCCCACCACTCCCCCACAAAATCATCTCCAAAACTTCCCTTTGGCTGTTTCCCCCTTTTGAGCAAATCACCCTCTACCATCCCTTCTCTCTCCGCATTGAAATCCTGGTTTGCCCCTCCCCTCTGGTTACTATTGGATTGTAATGAATGCTTGGCCTTCAGTTGAGTTAGTATTTGCCTATGGCAGCCTATCGATAGATGTGAAAGGCTTAAATAACCAGCCGAGCTGCGTTCCATCCGACGCTGACTGGCACGAGTGCTACAGCATGAAGCAGCTTCATAAAGTGGGTCGAGTCATCTTGGTGGAGACAGAATGGAAAGGAAGCAGTTTGTAGTGACTAATTTTAAACTGTTACCAGCAGCAATCAATCTACTCAAGAGAACTTTTATAGCACAGGAGGAGGCTATTCAGCAACTCACTGGAGCTATTTGTTATGATCTTTGTCTGGACTCAAAACATATTATAATAGTAATTCTAGCATTTGATGTTTCATATTGTCTAGACATCGTGAAATACTTTATACCGGATTTTACTGTTAAGTGGAGTGACTGTATTCACAGGCGAATCGGGCGGCCAATTTGTGCTCAGCCACGTCCCACAAACAGCCATAAGCAATATTATCAGGCAGAAGGGAATAGATCCAATCTTAGTTTAAGCGCACGTAGATTCTACCCTGGATGAAGGGCGCTATGTAAATGCAAGTTATTAAGTGTCTTTATGGACTCAACCAATTCTGACAAGCTCCATGTTCTAATAACCCGATGTATAAATCATTTCTCATCACTGTTTGCCCCACGGCCAATAATCTTCCAATTTATACCTTGGCTTTTTATGGCCTTTTATTTATGGCCTCACCCCACCCTACCTCTGCGACCTACTAATCCCCTACCAACCCACCCGCTCCTTCCGCTCAGCCGGCTCTGGCTGCTCCACGTCCCCCGACCCACCCGCCTCACCACTGGCAGGAGAGCCTTCAGCCATTCTGCCCCCAACCTCTGGAATTCCATCCCCCAATCACTCTGCCTCGCCCCCTCCTTAGCCTCCTTCAAGTCCCGCCTCAAGGCCCTCCTCTTTGACCATTCCATCGGCCACCCCCCTTCCCTTTTCCCTCCCTGACCCCAGTTCGGATCTGAAATGCTGTACTCTGTGCAGAGCCTTGGGACGTCCTCCCAACATGAAAGGCGCTATACACATTAATCTTGTTGTTGTTGTTGGTTAACGACTGTCGATCAATAGAAAATACTATCAAAACCATTCAGAATATTCAGATTCCAAGTTACAACAAAAGGTCACGTGCAAACTTGTCAAACATACTAAGCTGGTTTATTTATAGAAAAAAGCCACAATCTTTATAAAGAGAAGCTTTACGTAAGATAACAGCCTTTCAAAATCAAGTTCCTCAAAAGGGGACACAGCAAATCACAAGCCGATTGATTATTCAATCTGAATTACGTTAATATCAAGATTCAGAAAAACTACAGAAAAAGAAAATATTCAGTGTGCAGTGAGCCGACTGCGTTAATCTGGCCTCTTCAAAGAAAATGGAGTACAAGACATTAATCCGTGACTGGTAAGGAGGCTTTGAACGCTGCCGATTGATAGTAAAGAATCCTGCCCACACTAGCCCTGGCTAGCTAAGGACCCGAGGTTTGAAATACTCAAAGAACGGGAACGATGCAAGTAAGCAACACACCTAACGTGCTTGAGACCTCAAACCTCAGAAACAGGTGCTCACTGATCACTAATCCCCATGTTACACAAACCACTCAAACTCACATCTGTTGCTTCACGCACACAAAGTGCAAGTTACCTCAGAAGATCCATTATACACGACCAAGGCAATAAATTCACAGACAACATGCAATAACGCGCTACAGTCATTTGAAATGTGGAACAGGTGTTTAGGACTTGGAGAGTCAGAGAGCTTTGTTAAAGACACGTTTAATGTGGAATAGGAGGGAAAGAGGAGTTATGTAGGACTGAATTAGGTTGTAGCTCATTAGAGTAATATTGGATTCTGCTTATCATGTAAATTGACGGCTTGAATTCTTCAGTCTACCATATATACTGCAACACACAGACTGATCCCACGTTTACTGTTCAATCGCTTTGATCAAGCACTTAGCTTTCCTGATCCTTTTATGACTGACAGTAACAGAGTGATCAGCACTCCACTGCTTGTGAGAAACAAGGTGGGGTGGGCGTGGGGGGCTGGTTGAGAGCCTTATATCTTGTGAGTGGGAGTCTATAAAACATAGTATTGGAAAGACTGATCGAATGGAATCTTTTTCCCTTACAGCCACGTGAGGAGACGGAGGCAGTTTTTACAATTAAACCAACTTGGATGTGACTGCGCTCTAATTAGAACAATTGCACTGATCCTTATTACCTCGACCAGTAGATTCTCCAAGTAAAATAAACACTGGTGCATTAAACTGCAATGTGAGGATATTCCACACCACATTATGCCTCTGTTTTGTTAAACCCCACTATAATAGTAAAGGTGACCATGCTTACCTCTCCAGTAAAATCTTTACCGATTTGGTATTCTGCAAATAAATACGTAGAGAATTAGTTACAATAGACAACAATGAATCTCATACTTACAGTTTCTTACCATAAACTCTCCAGCCCAAACAATATGAGAATAGAAACTGCAACAGGACTAGGGACTGAGAGAAGCTGACAAAAACAGCAGCAGCACTGAACCTGGCTAGTCTCTGAGTGACTGAATGGATGGGGGGGGGGGGGGGGGTACAGGACCAGCAGAAACTTCCTTTTGAGGATCTTTGGGAACTTTAATGTCCACCTGGACAAGCAGACACAACCTTAGATTAACATCTCATCTGAAGGATGTCACCTCCTCCAATGCAGCCGCCCCCTCCCCCCAGCATTGCATTGCAATGTCAGCCCACACACCTACACAGCGTTCAAAGTCACAATGTGGGGGTGGAACCCACAAGCTTCAGCCTGAAGAGATGAGAGTACAACCAGCTGAGCCAGATTGGCACCTAGAGGAACATAAGAACAGGAGGAGGCCATTCAGCCCCTCGAGTCTGTTTCGCCATCTACTAGATCATGGCTGATCTACTCCCCCACCTTTGTCCCGTATTCCTTGATACCCTGATTCTAACAAACATCTATCCAACTCAGTCTAAAAAATGTGTGGGAGAGTTTCAGATTGCCACTACCCTTTGCATGAAACAATGCTAACTGATTTAACTCCTAAATGGCTTAGTTAGTTTTAAGATGGTGAGATATGTAGTTTTAAATTCTGCCTACTTGTCAGAAGTGTAGGTTATTAAGATGTGGGGAGAAACTGCACTGGTTTTCTGGGTTTGAAATAAAGCATCTGCAAGTTTCTGAAGAGTAAATCTAAACTCTGACAATTCCTTTTGTTCCACATTGCTAAAATACAACATGAGGATCTGAACAGTCTGCATCTGACACGTCAAAGTGAAAGTGCCTCCACCCCTCAAACAGTTCCATGTTTCCAGGCTCGTTACCATATTACTGATTAATGTGACAGGGTGAAGGAGGTCAGAGCCTAACAGCAGATGATGGTTGGGGGAGGGGAGAGAGGAGGGGAGGCAGGGGGAGAGGAGGGGAGAGTAGGGGAGGGGAGGGGGGAGGAGGGGAACAGCACAGCTAATAATAGTTTGTAACTAGATGTAGCATTAAAAGCAGGAAATGTTGCTACAGTGTGTAGCTCCGCACTGCATCAAAATGGGAGTTTTAAAAGAAGAAACAAAACTCCTGAGAGGTTTGTCGAACAGCCAGCAGATATGCACAAGAGAAGTCCCAGCACTCACGGTCTATTACCCTTGATAATACGTTTGTCTACAAAATACAGTCACCACACTTTGTAGTAAATGTAGCTCAGTGGTTAGAGCACTCGCTTTGCAAGTTAGAGACCTGAGTTCAATCCCCGGGGGGTCAGGGCCAAACCTTGGGCAAGTTTCCTTACTCCACACAGAGCCTAATAATAGTCCCTCCAAAAACCAAAAACAATAATAAATTGGTAACTTCAATCCATGACAATGTGGGACATTGCTGTGCGCAATTGGCTGCCGCGTTTCACCCACAAATATACAGTCAATTCACTTTACAGCACATTCTGTGAAGCGCTTTGAGACGTCGAGAACATGTGAAAAGCGCTATATCAAATGCAAGGATTATAAATCCATTCAAGCACTTTGAGACAGCCTCCTGACATGAAAGGTGCTGTGTCAAGTATCATCATTATTAATGATCAGTGCCATCACCTTCTTTGCTGCACTCTTAGAAAAGGCTGCAGTGGCTGAAAGTGTGGCCACTGATGGTGGAATGGAGGGCGCGAGAGACAGACAGGAGGCTGGAATCAGTCGAGCGGAGGCACCGGATAGTGAGTTGGGGAGTAAGCAGGTCGGAGAGAAGGGAGGTGCCAGAGAAGACAAATAAAAGAGCAACCAAAGGCTGCACTTGCTTCCCCATGGACTACTTAAGATAGCAGCAATGTCAAGGTTGTGGGATCAGGCCCCTATTTTCTCTCTCTCTCTCTCAGAGAGGCGTGGTGCAGTGCGCAGGAGGAGCACCTACACCAAATGAATATAAATTACTTTAAATTCTATTGGAGACAAAAGAAAAAGGAAAACTAAAAGTGCCAAAACCTATTGGCCGGCCTCGTGGGCTACAAACAGGGTGGCAAAGTGGAAATTAACTCTGTGTTTGCTAGATAACTGAAGGCTGTGAATGTCCCCACAGACTTCTTCAAATATTTCCTATTTTGCCCAGTTCGGACTTGGCAAAAGCAGTCCCAAGCCCGAGCAAAGGCTGGTGGGATAACAATATATAAAATAATAATAATCCTTATTCGGTATAGCACCCTATTATGTCTCCCAAGACATCTCAAAGCGCATCACAGAATATACTGAAAAAATACTCTATATTTTGTGGGTGAAACGCATCAGCCAAAATTGCGCACAACAGTGTCCCACAGACAGTCATGGATTGAGTGACTACATTTTTTTCTTGAGGGATTATTACCCCCGGAAAGCGATCCGCCAATCGACTAACAACCAGGTTCCTACTTACTGCTGGGTAGACAGAGGGTTGTGGATTAAGAAAACTTGCCTAAAGTTTCACCCTGCCCGGGAATCGAACCCGGGTCCTCTCACTTGCGAGGTGAGTGCTCTAACCATTACGCTCAGGATTTCCTCCTCACACTTCAACACTGTGGCACTGAAGTTTATAATCCATCTGTGACAAAATTAATAAAAGGACAGACAATAAGGATTCTTAAAATAAGAAAAAGCTAAATATAAAAGTTAGAAGTGCAAATCTGAGCAGCACGGAATATTAAAGGTCATATTTATTGGAATCAAACTTAATCCTAATTTTTTTTAAAAAAAGAGCTTTGTATTGTCTTACTCGGTCATGAATTAATAATTTGAAATCATGACATTTGAAGGTTGGGGGTGGGGGAGTGTTAAAAACACACACACTGACAATCTCAACAAAGACAGTAGCAGTTGCTACAGCAACCCATCCTGGAATTTAATTATTTGTGAAATACTCCCACTTCAGAACCCCAACACCAGCAATTATTTGTCAAGACAAAAAAAAATTGGACCTGGTTGTTTTTTTTATTAATATAAAAAAGATCAATTTATTCTGACAATATTCATTCATTCAACGAGGCCATTTGAAAACAGAAGCTTTCTACAAATGGCTATTATTGATCAATAACTGCAGCAGTTAAAGGGACTGGGATGAAATAATTGCTGCCATTAACAATAATAATCCTTGCATATGATACAGCGCCTTATCATGTCTTCTAGCCGTCTCAAAGCGCTTCAAAGAATATACTGTAAAGTGAATTGACTGTATATTTTGTGGGCGAAACACAGCAGCCAATTGCGCACAGCAGCATCCCACGAATAGTCCTGGATTGAAGCGACCAAATTATTTATATTGTTTTTTTGAAGGGATTATTACCCCCGGAAATGCAATCGCTGAATGAATATGGCGAATAAAGGATTTGACTTGAGCATCTCTGTGCTCTTATGTACAGTGTACTGCAGGCCCAGTGTCTGTTCCCATGAAGGACCCTTCCCCACCCAATATCACACAGAACTAAACTGACTGTACAAGCAGGGAACGAGGCCATTCAGCCCAGCTAGTCTGTGCCAGTGTTCATAACACATGCAAGCCTCCATCACTGCTAACACAGTTTAGTCTTTATTTCCTGCTCTCTCAATCAGGCATTAAAATACAATTTAAAAACAAAAAACGGCACACACATTGTCTTTTTACTGCCCACACATATCCCTGTTGCAAGGGCCAGTGATCATAGAATCATAGAAATACACCGCACAGAAGGAGGTCAATCGACCCATTGTGTCTGTGCCGACTCCTTGAAAAGAGCTTCCAAATCAACCCCACTCTCCCCATAGCCCTGATCAACCCCACTTCCCCGCTCTCTCCCCATAGCCCTGATTAACCCCACTCCCCCGCGCTCTCCCCATAGCCCTGATCAACCCCACTTCCCCGCTCTCTCCCCATAGCCCTGATTAACCCCACTCCCCCGCGCTCTCCCCACAGCCCTGATCAACCCCACTCCCCCGCTCTCTCTCCATAGCTCTGCAATCTTGTCCCCCAGCCCCACCCCAACTCATTTAAACTCATTAATTCCTGGTACTGATCAAAGACTGTACAACAACAAATTAATTTGTATAGCGCCTTTCACGTTGGGATGATGTCCCAAACATCAGCAGGTTTTCAAGACGTTGTTTCCCCTTGTGATCAAACATTTCCGAGACACTATAATCCGGCCGATCAGACCGTGATGTTTGAAGGATCAGAAGTTAAGATCCCTGTTCCTGTTAGCGACAAGGTGGTAAAGTCACTGCGGATAGCACTTCTGCTGAGGAGCAGCTGGCAAGCTAGCTGTGTATGTGCGCAGGGAGCCGGCCAATCGATGTCTCACTTCCCAGCACCGTAGTTCTACACAGTACTGTAAGCAAACTTGCTTCACTGTAACTGCAAACCACCAAGGATTTAAAGGAATAAAAAAAACCTCACGTTCTCTTTGCTTTGTCCGCGCTTCCCCTCCCCCACACACTTTCCGCCCTCCCACCCACCCTCCAATCCACCTGTCAGAGTGCTGACAGGGAAGAGATTAACATCAACTGCTGTTGGTATTTGTTCTGGGATCATTTGAAATATATGCGCTTTAAACCCAAACACACATAGCCTCTAGGATGCTTTTTGTGCGGTGACGTTGCTGCAGGAAGAGACACTAACAATAAATCATTGCTACAGGGACAGGGACATCATGTGAACGGATCACTGGGCTGCAGAGAGCACAAGGACACCCGCTCTAGGCCTCTATTCCCCATGCAATGAGATGTTGATCACAGTTGTGCCATCGGGCAGAGACAATGGGGAGAGCTCTGGTACACTGTTTAGTGCCGATTCAAGTGCACCTACTGGCCAGGGAAACAATCACACATATAACAAACCTAAAGCGTAGGGAAGGCAATGCAGCACATTAAAAGAATTGGAATTTAAAAAAAAAGGAAAGATACAGTGGACAACGAGACAAACTGAAGACTTGATCTTCAAAGCACATCAGAATAATAATAATCCTTACATTTGATATAGTGCCTTATCACGTCTTCGAGACGTCTCAAAGTGCTTCACAGACAATTGCAGTGAAATGTAGTGACCAGTTGCAAGCGACCACAGCAGCCATTTTGCATATAAGATCCCACAAAACAGCTGTGTAGTGAATTTTGTCTAAGGATTATTTGCTTAATCACCGTGGGAGGAACTCACTTCTGTTTTCCAATCGTCTCGTGGGATCTTTAACATTCTTTTAAACAGTCAGATGGGAAGGGTGTGGGAGGGTTAAATTGCTCAATTGAAAGACAATGCAGCGCTCCACCCAAGCTGTGGGCCTCCAGGGGTAGCTCAAACCTCAATGCCGCCCTCTCTGATGTGAGGAAAAAAACGAAGATTGCTGGGTACAACCTTAATCAAAACATGACAATGTGGTTTCTCACCTTCATAAATGAAATATCCTCGGTCCTGTCCCACATTTTCTGGACAGAATTCAGTAGCTTTTTGGCCTCTTCCAATCGCTCGTTTAGATGGTGCACTTGGGAGGCGTTTTCATCACAGAATTTGGTGCGTGTTTTGTCGATCAACTCCAAGGTCTTCCCAAGATCCTCCTCCAGAATCTGACGCATCTTCTCATACTGCAGACGCACTTCCTCCTTTAACTGCAGGACTTTTTCCTTTTATTAAAAAAAATAACAAAACACACGTGTGCACATCAGCAGGAGGCTTTTTGAAAGAAATACAATCGGACTTTGTCTTTCGGAACAAATTCCACTGGCGCCCACTTTAATCATAACCCTGGCATTTGATATAGCTCCTTATCACGTGGTTCAGACATCGCAAAGCTCTTCACAGGATACACTGTGAAGTGGATTGACTGTATATTTTGTGGGCGAAACGTGGCAGCCAATTGCACACAGCAGCATCCCACAAACAGTCGTGGATTGAGTGACCAAATTATTATTTATTTGTTAAGAGATTATTACCCCAAGAAAACGAACCGCTAATTGAATTAGCAACACGGTTTGTACTTACTGCTAGGTAAACAGAGGAGTGTGGAGTAAGGAAACTTGCCTAAGGTTTTTCCCTGCCCGGGGAATCGAACCCAGATCCTCTCTCTAGTGAGGCGAGCGCACTAACTACACTGTGTAGGAATGATACTTTATAGAACTGTTCCTAAGCGAAACCAGCCCGACAGCTCCCAAGGGATCCTCTGGACTGAGACCCACATTGCCAGAGCTTATCTATAGGTGCACACATCCTGGAAATTGCACATGTCTTGCCGTTTGCTCATTCTCATCTCTTTGCCCACACTGGGATTAAAAGCGAGTTTTGTTTTTCAAACAAAAAAATTAAATGTGGAAACGCCACGCCTCAGCCTTCTGTTTATCCACAGGAGGCCTCCCATCACCAAACCCAAGATAATAGAGGCAGTACAAAGTGAAAGGTTCCCCAGCATGGGATACGGTCGTCTTTTTCAATCACAACGCACCCGCATCAATCTTGATAGCATCCTTTGTACGGAAAACAATGGGGGCATTAAATACTTCATCTAAGAGACAACCATGTGCCTGTACCCACTTCACATCCCATTCCTGAGACAGGCAGGTAGTTATCCCATCATTCGCATGAAACATCTATAAACATCAATTCTGGATTTTATCATATGGCTAACATTACTAACAATCAGTTATGAGTCGATTGGCAGATTGCTTTTCCTTCAAAAATAATAATAATGATGAATTGACTGTTTGTGGGACATTATTGTGCACAATTGGCTTCCATGTCTCGCCCACAAAATGCACAGTCACTACACTTTACAGTATATCCTGTGAAGTGCTTTGAGACGTCTCAAAGATATAAGGCACTGTATCAAATGCAAGAATTATTATTATTACTACATTGCCTCCCCCTCCCCACTCGCCCCGTTTCAGTTTACAGATTGGACAAATGTGCCTTAAGTGGATCCTATCAAAACCATCATAGACCATTTGCAGACAAAGCAAGTAAATGCGGAACCCTATGTTCAGAGTCGAGGGAGCAAGAAGACAAGAGATTAGAGGTTGATTGGCCGAGAAGTGCAAGCTTTAAGCTAAGAAACATTTCTTTACGTACAAGATGAACCAACAGCTGAAAGGTCTTCCTCGGCCATGACATTGAGTTGATTTATTAACTTCTAGATTCTGGAAGGATGAGATCAAATGGGCCAAAGGGACATCTTCATCCAAACCTCTCTTATGATCTTGCATTGTCAGACTGACTACACTCAAATCCATGTCCCCCGCCCAGCCCTCTCCACCATCAGCAATCAGGTTCAGCCTCTCTGGTCCACCCTCTAGAACTCCATCCCGCAGTCCCTTTCCCTTCCTTCGAAGCCCGCCTGAAGACGCTCCTCTTCGAGTGCACCTTCAATCACATCCCCACCTCTCACTGGCTCGGTGTCAAGCTCTGCCGCTGTTAAGCTTTCTGAGATACTACCCACACAAAGGGTGCTCTGTAAATAGAATATGTTAAAATAACAATATATATTATACGAATAATAATCTTTGCGTTTGGTGTAGAGCTTTTCACGTTGGGAGCGCTTCACAGTATATGCTGTAAAATGTTCTTTGTAGTGGTGGTGGTGGGGGGGGGGGGGGGAAGAGAGAGCAAGAAGATGGGATAAAAAAGACACTATTTTGCCATTCATTTTAAAATCGCTCCAACTCTGGATAAACACATCCCCAACATATTGAGATTAGTAAACAAAAGGCAAAGTACTGCAGATGCTGGAAATCTGAAATAAAAGCAGAAGTGCTGAGAACACGCAACAGGTCAGGCAGGATCTATGGATAGAGGAAAATTTGCCTCTCTCCATAGATGCTGCCTGACCTGCTTGCTGCGTGTTCCCAGCAACTTCTGTTTTTATATTGAGGTCAATCTTATGCACTCTCTCCCAAAGCCAGGGATCCCTTTGCCATTCCTCATCATCTCAATGAACACAAGTGCAAAAAAATAATTTGGACCAACACACAGGCTTCTCACCTCATCACCCACATACGTACACTTTCATGTCCTGATAACCTAAAGGCACCACACATGGCTCAGTTAAAAAGAGTGGGTTGAAATAAAATTTGACTTACTTCAATCACGCTTTTATCTGTCTTCAGTTTGTAAATTTGTTCTTCAATATCTTGTTCCCTTTCAGACAGCCTCTCTTGTTGTTTCATCAGCATTTGCTTTGAAGAGAAATAAAAGCACAGTGACTGTTTTGTTGAAAAGCAATTACAAAATTCAAAGAAAAAAAATCCTGCAGTGTCCAGAAATAACCAATCCTGGCTAAACAGCCTGTTGGTTTCATTAGAAGCAGATCTGATCACGGACCAAGAGAGATTTAGGAGCACATCTACACAGCAAAATGTGGCGGGCCCCAGAGCCTGCAAATCATCAACTACAACAACTTGCATTTATATAATGCTCTCACGCAGAGCGCTTGACAGTGGTGGAGCATGATGCCGAGCCAGAGGAGGTCGAGGAAGGTTTTCAGGTTTGACCTGAAGATGAGGAAGGAGGGGGCAAGGCAGAGGGATAGACAAAGAGTGTTCCAGTGTTTCTGGGTGCAGTGGCTGAAAGAACAGAGGGCACGAGGGACATGTAGTTCGAGCGGAGGCAGCAGGTAATAGATTGGGGTGTAAGCAGGTAGAAGTAGGGAGGGTGTGAAGGGATTTGAACTGTTACCAGAGGAATTGTTGTTGCCCCCCCATCCTCATTTCTTCATATTATTGTAGGGGAAGATAATGAGGTGAATGGGCTGGTGCAACAAAAAATCTGTGTTTACATATAACACTTCTCAGCTTGGGTAATAGCTCACAGCAGAGTGACAGAGACCATGGTGACGTGAAGAGGGTGAGGAACACAACAGCAGAGTTTCTTCAGTGGAGGAGGCAACAGAAGAGTGAGGCTGGAGGTCAGAGTTGGGGAGGGGCGAGCAGGAAGGGGGGGAGGGCGGGGCGGGGAAGTAGGCAAGAGTGAGGATCTGAAGACCATTAGCTGGTAGACGGGAGCCGGTAGAGCCTGGCGAGGATGGGGGTGAAGGGCAAGCAAAACTCACAGAACATTTCCAGGAAAAGGATGTTCGGGGTCTGAGGTTAAGATGGAGAGAAATCTGCCAGTGGCAGGAATTTACAATCCATACGCAGGAAGTGGTTTCAACTTTCCCGGGCCAGAGCATGGACTTCGCTGTATTCTCACAGCACAATGGTATATCTAGGCTATGAGTCTGGTGTGTAGGGATATACTATTGCCAACCTAACTACCACCTTGTAACTGGAAGTTATCCCCCATCGGCCATTAATGTACAGCGGCTTTGAATTTTTTATTCTTTGCGTTTCCAAAAATGGCTCCGCAGTAAACTTTGAAATTAAATTTACTGCCATGCATTTCCTAATAAAAATCTTTCAAATCAAGTGACACAGGAGAGTGAAATCAAAGGCAAATATGTCCTTGCGTTTCTCCTACAAACCCCAAGGACATTGTTGGGCAGCCCTCAAATGTTCTGGGCACAACCTAAATAGTAGTAGCCTCACCAACAGAGCTGATAATAATAATAAAAATAATAATAAACCTTGCATTTGATATGATTAGTTGAGACATCTCAAAGCGCTTCACAGGAATTCATAATAATAACAATGCTTGCTTTTGATATAGCGCCTTATCACGTCATTGAGACTTCTCAAACCGTTTCACAGTACATACTATAAATTATTATTATTATTATTATTATACTATAAAGTGGAATGATTGTGTATTTTGTATAATTGTAATAATTACTGCAAAATGTAACAACAGTGTATTTTGTAGACAAACACGACAGCCAATTTGCGCGCAGCAGTATCCTACAAAAAGTTGTGTCCTTCCAAGTTTATCTGGGGGATTGCTGTTAGGGGAAAAGATGTGGTGATTCATGAAAGGAGCGATTAATCCAGAATCCAACACAACTTGGATGGATCTGGTGGGACTCTGCCCAACTCTTGCCTTAATCGGCTGGAAATCAGAGCACGAGCAAGACAAGTCCAGGTACCCGAGGTTCCACATTCAGAATAAGTCGCTGCCTATTATTTCCCAATCAAAGGGTTGGTGGAAACTCATGTGGAGTATAAACACCGGCACGGACGCCGAATGTTCCCTTTCCACTCTACACAGTCGATGTAAAAATCTCAAAATTAATTCAAGTGCATGATGGGTGTGGAATTTTCCAGGCTGACCTATATGAGAACTCAAACTGTAACTCAGGCAGGTACTCAATGCTCTAAACACTTCAAGTGTGTGAACTTCAGATGACTTTGGACAGTAACCAAGACAAGTCACTCTCAGCTGTCAATCAGACCCAGTGACAGACAGACAGAAAGACAGACAGATAAATTGACAATTACACCTCCCAATTCATCTCGAACACAAAGATTGCTGTCTGTTTCAATACATCTGAAACAAACAAATTGCTAGAAAAAAAAGTCAGCACAGCATCTTGAATATTTCTATTTGTACCAGGGAAAGGGCACTAACAAGAGTGTTTTTAGCCAATATATCCCACTCTCTCCAGAGCTATCTAATTTTGCCCCTGGTTATCACAACCCTTCTAAGAACTCCTCTCCAACTGTGCTTTTTGTCCCCTGCACTGCATTGGAGCATCAGTCTAAACTGTGAGCTGAGAGTCCCGGCCTGGGGCTTGAACCCACAACATTCAGACTGAGATGAGAGGACGACTGACAAATGGTTTTATTGCAGCTCAGTGGTTACAGCACTCACCTCGCAAGCGAGAGGACCCCAGTTGAATTCTCGGGTGGGGGCAAAACCTTAGACAAGTTTCTTTACTCCACACACCCCTGTTTACCAGCAGTAAGTAGGAACCCGGTTGTTAGTCGATTGGCAGATCACTTTTCTAGGGAAATAATCCCTTCAAAAATAATAATTTGGTCACTCAACCCACAACTGTTTGCGGGGACACTGCTGTGCGTAATTGGCTGTCGTGTTTTGCCCACAAAATATTCAGTCAGTTCACTCTACAGTATATTCTGTGAAGCGCTTTGAGAGGTCTTACCGACATGATAAGGCAATATATCAATTGCAAGGATTATTATTAATAACAATAATGTGAATCCCTATGCTCACTGTAAAGGTTAAAAAGAAACGGCTTATGGCAGGGACTAAACTAAACCCTCTGGGTTTATTTCAGGAAAGCAAACTCAACCAGAGGCTTTTTTCAGGAGATAATGGGCAGGAATTTTATTTGCTCTAAGTACGTCACACAATTCCCACCATTTTGGGAAAGATTCTGGACTGACTGAGAAGTGGCACAGAGGCTGGAGCTTGCATTTGAAACAGTTTAAAGCTGCTCCAGACTGTTTTTGGTTTACTATGCAGTAAACTCCTGATAACTCGACTTGGCTCAACTTGTCACTACCACTTAAGTCATCGTATTGTCAATATCCCGGCTGTATATATTTATGCAGTTATACATACGCTTAACTCGCCGCACCTGATAACTCGTCACTGAGCCTCTTTCCCTTGGAGTGACGAGTTATCAGGAGTTTACTGCACATAGCACAATTGTTCCATAAAATTCCCTTGAAATTAGAATTTAACTAAAAGGGATTTGGCAACTCATTCTATTCTCGAAGCAGTAGATTTTATACTAAAATGTCTACCAGTGACTGTAACAGGGAAATAATTTGCAAGCACACAGGAGAATGCGGTTGGGCCTTCACTATATTTTTAACTATGATCTTTTGAGTAGGCTGAGATGTGCGTAGATGAGATAGTTGATAAGATTCTGATCCAACCTTGAGCAAGATAAAAACACACGATAACATCTACATTTAAAGTTTTCAAAAAAAATCACACAACAGCTTGATTAGGCTTGTAAAAAAAACTCATTTGCATCTGCTAACGAGCACTCCTTTCAGAATACATCTTAAATGGAATCCTTTTAGAAGGAAAAGTGAAATCAGCATTTACAAGAGAAATTGTAAGCAAAGGGTTGTGAAAAGCTTTTATTATTTCAAGGACTCGGTCCGCAGAACCCCCCAATGAGTATAGTAGATAATAACCCTAGCATTTGATGTAGCGCTTTATCACAAAGGCATCTCAAAGCGCTTCATGGGATTTTACTGTGAACTGTAGTGACTATGTATTTCGTGGGTGAACATGACAGCCAATTTAAGATCAGCAAGGTATGAAGTGAATGAATAATTTTTTTTCTGGAGGAATTTTGTCCCCGTGTTGGCCAGGACACAGGGAGAAACTTCCTTCTCGGCTGGTGGCTAGTGTTATGGACAGTATCTTTAACATCAACCTGAACAGGCAGATGGGACCTTGGTTTGATGTCTCATCTGATGACAACGCAGCACACCCCAACAACGCACTGGAGAGACAGCTTAGACTATGTAATTTCAAGTCCCAAAGTGGGCTAGAATCCACAACCTTCTTACTTGGCAGATCACTTTTCCGGGGGTAATAATTCCTTCAAAACAAAAATAAATTAGTAACTTCAATCTACAGTTGTTTGTGGGACGCTGCTGTGCACAATTGGCTGCCGCGCTTTGTCCATAAAATAAAGTCAATTCACTTTACAATATATTCTGTAAAACGCTTTGAGACGTCTTGGAAGATGTGATAAGGCGCTATATCAAATGCAAGGATTATTATTATTACTCAGAGGTAAGAAAGAGCGTTACCAATCGAACCAGGCTGGCATATATAACCAGCAGGCACTGCCTAAAACACCAAATGTGGTGGAATTGGAAGCACAGCAAACGTTTGCCAACTGTTAACGGGGAAGATTTATTTTCTTAAAAAAATTTAATTCAGCCCTGCACATCTAGTCTGAGCAGGAAAGAATTACATAAAAATCCACAACGAATGGCTTCAATCCCTTCTTGGGCACAAATTAAACAAGGTTGAACAAAGGGGGAAATCTCAATTTCCTTTTGATCTTCAAGGCAACAAACAAAAGGTCACATATCTGGCCCATGACCATCGGCAATAGAATATTGCGGAAATATCTGCCAAACATTACGGGGATGTTTGTCAGATTTTGTGGGAAATTGCGGAGGTTGATTCGTGCTATTCATAGAATCATAGAATTATACAGAACAGAAGGAGGCCATTCGGCCCATCATGTCTGGACCGGCTATTTGAAAAGAGCTTCCAAATCAACTCCACTCCCCCGCGCTCCCCC